GAGTTTCTTTAAGCCGGGAATTGTTTTAGCTTTTCACGTCTTACCGCTTTTTTAATGCGCTCTTTTACAGGCGTTTTTACAGTGGAACTGTAGAGGAGAAAGGGCGAACGCCCTCGATCTCCAGGCTGTCGTCAGCAGGGTATCTCCTGCAGCCGTGGCGCTGCAGGAGACCAAGCTAGCGTCTGAGCAGTTCTGCTCTTTGAAAGGATATGCGATGTTTCGCAACGACGTGTTGACGGAGAGCATTGCTCACGGTGGCGTCCTCCTGGTAGTTTTCCATGGCGTGCCAGCGAGGAGGTTAGGCTTGCGGTCCACACTTCAGGCTGTGGCCGTGCGGCCTTATTTCAACCATCGTCACATCATTGTTTGCTCACTTTACCTTCCACTAGGCATCGCTTTTCCGTTGGCGCACCTTAGATGTCTGCTGGCTGAACTGCCTTCACCACTTCTTCTTCTAGGCGATTTTAATGCGCATCACACCGCATGGGGGTGTGACGTCAGCAGTGCTCGTGGGAGGCTGTGTGAGAATCTCATCCACGGTGCTTCGCTATGTATTTTAAACACAGGAACTCGTAAGCATTTTACAATGCCGTCCGGTCAGGCGTCAGCGCTAGACTTAAGCCTCTCCAGTCCCCAGCTCGTCCAACACCTCGAGTGGAGTGTCGGAGATGACCCAATGGGAAGTGACCACTTCCCAGTGTGGGTCCGGTTTAAGAGAGGTGGAGCGCTGAGTGTTAGACCACAACGCTGGAATTTTAAGAAAGCGGACTGGTGCGAATTTGAGACTCGGCTCGACGAATCGTTCGTAACTGAGGCTGTGAGGACTGTGCCCTCTACTGAAGATTTTACCCACAGACTTTTAGAATGTGCCAACAGTTGTATCCCACGCACGTCTGGCGTTCCCCGACGTACTCCTGTTCCGTGGTGGACGGAGGAGTGTCGGAGCGCCATCCGGGCGCGTAAACGTGCATTTCGGGCTTTTGACGCCAGGAGCAGTATAGAAAACTTCATAGCTTTTAAGAAGGTGAGAGCTTTTGCTCGGCGCACCGTAAGGGAGGCGAAGCGTGCTTCCTGGCATGCTTATGTGAGTACGCTGAACCGGTTCACGCCAACATCGCAGGTTTGGTCTCGAATTAAGCGTATATCTGGGCACTTTACATCCATGGCTCTTCCGGTACCATGTGTGAACGGACAGGCCGTGACGCGCCCGTTGGAAGTTGAGAACGAAATTGCCCGGGCGCTGGCCTACCGCAGCGAAGGTGGCAACACTAACCCACAGTTTGTGCGGCACCGGGCGCAATGTGAGCAATCCGCAGTGGATTTTTCAACGAGTGAGCTGCACTCCTATAATGGTCCATTCACCCTGGTCGAGTTGGAATGGGCGATTTCCAAGCTTCGCAGCGTGTCAGAAGGTCCGGCCACTGTTCACAACGACATGCTCAAGCATTTGCCGCCTTGCGTGCTTCGTGCTCTTTTAGCGGTATTTAATGCTGTTTGGGCCAGTGGGGACCTTCCAGCCTCTTGGCGAGAAGCTATAGTCGTTCCTATTTTGAAACCGGGTAAAAGTGGACTGGATCCTTTACACTATAGACCTACTTCTCTCACTTCATCGCTCTCTAAGTTGATGGAAAAGATGGTTAATGTCCGTTTAACTTGGTTTTTAGAACATCACGGCGATTTTACAAACGCCCAGTGTGGTTTTAGAAAGAATCGCAGCACAGTGGACAATCTTTTAGTTCTTGACACTGCGATTCGTATGGGATTTAAAGCAAGCCGACACATAGGTGCAGTATTCTTTGACATAGAGGGCGCCTATGCCACCACATGGCGTCCAGGCATCCTTCTCAAGCTACACAAGTATGGTATACGCGGCAATATGGGCACCTTTCTTCAAAAATTTCTAGTTGACCGTTCTTTCCGTGTCCGTGTTGGAAATGCCCTCTCTGAGAGGCATGTTCAAGCTAGCGGTGTGCCCCTAGGCAGCGTTCTCAGCGTAGCCTTGTTTGCCGCTATGATTAACGACATCGAGATTGGGCTGCCGCAGTCTGCAGGTCGTGCCCTTTTTGTTGATGATTTTACCATTTGGACCAGCGCAGCAAGAGCACCATCGATGGAGCGCCAACTCCAGTTGGCTGTGGACCGTGTTGAGAAGTGGGATACCATGAACGGGTTCAGGTTTTCAAGTAGCAAGACTGTAGGCATGCATTTTTGCCGTAGCCGGCAATGCGGTGACCTGTCTATCCGCCTGTGTGAGCAATGCATTCCAACTGAGCCTGTGGCTAAATACCTTGGGGTATTCTTTGACCGCCAACTTACATATAAGGCACATCTTAAGACGCTACGTGAACGCTGTTTTAAATCTTTGAACGTATTAAAATGTGCTTCGCGCACATCGTATGGCGGAGGTCGGAGCACGCTTTTGCTGCTGTATCGGGCCATCATACGCTCTAAACTGAACTATGCATGTTTTATTTATGACAGCGCGTGTGAATCCACCAAACGCATCATTGACACCATCCATCACACTGCTATACGTGCCATCACAGGGGCGTTCCGTACATCTCCAACCCGAAGCCTCTTGGCAGAATCACACGAGCCGCCGCTGTCAGCGAGGAGGAAGATGCTCGGCGTGCGTTACGCACTTCAGCTGCGACAGTTCCCGTGACATCCCGCATATCACGCAGTCTTTGCGCGGCCTGCTGTCCCGTTTGTTCGCAATTCACCTCGGGCGCATGTTGTGACCTTTGGCTCTCGGATACAAGCCTTACTGCGGGAAAACGAAATTCCCATTCGAAAGGTCAAGCGATCAGGTCACTTGTGCACTCCTCCCAGGCATTTGATCTCACCCTTCACAGACACATCTCTGACTGAAATGAAAAAGTGTCTCGCTGCCAGATATAATGAGGTCCAGAGCGCTTGAGCGTATAGCGTTATATGAGGGCTACACACACACTTACACAGACGGCTCTAAAACTCCTGATGGTGTAGGCTGTGCGTTTGTGAGCGGTAGCGTCACCCGGTCGTTTTAATTGCCCCCAAACGCTTCGGTTTTCACATTGCAGCTCATAGCGATCACTAAGGTACTATGTTTTATTGAAGTCGGCGACGAACCTTTACATCTCATTTTGACGGACTCTCTGAGCAGTGATCTGAGTTTGAAGTTTTTGTATCCATCATGTCCCCTTATACAGGACATTTTAATACGATTGACTCAATTGGATCAGGCCGGAAAGAAAGTCATGCTGTGTTGGGTTCCTAGTCACGTTGGAATCGCGGGCAACGAGGTGGCTGGCGCGGCTGCAAGGCGAGCAGCGCTGGCTCCATGTGTACGCTCTGTTTCCATCCCTGCTACAGATTATTACCCTGCAATAAAAAACACCTTTCTACAGAACTAATGGCAGCGTTATTGGGATGGGGCAAACGAAGATAAGCTCAGAGCAACGAAACCCAAGCTGGGTCAGTAGTTATCATGTTCTCACAAAGTTAGGCAAGAAGAGGTGGTGCTCCGCAGACTACGTATTGGGCGCGAGATGACTCACAATTTTTTGGAGCTCAACAAATCGTTTTATTTCTCAAACACATCAACTTTGGAACCATTTATGCTGCTCATTAGATAGGTAAAAAAAAAACTCGTTATGGGTGCCAAATGACCACCGCAGTCGGCACGCCCCTAAACTCCAATAAACAACAACAAAAAGCAGTCTCCATAGGCCGCGTAGCGTCGGCGTACGGCTGTGGCGCTAAGCGACGGCCAATAAGTAATCGAAAAATGTGACGCATCTTGAGGAAGATGGCTGCTGAACTAGGTAAATCGGCATATATACATTTATTTAAATGTGGTGCAAACGTAGTCCGTCCCGGTGGCTCTCGGTTTAGTCCGTCCCGGTGGCTCAGTTGGTTAGAGCGCCTGCATTCCGACCCACCCATCTGTGGCGGGATGAGTTCGAGTCGCTTTAGGGCGCTCGCTATTTGCCCTTGGCAGGTATGGCCCGCGGCCGGTGGCAGCGGTCGCGCTAAAAGTCAGTTGACGTCAGAGGGCAGGACGGACCGTGCCGAGCATTGCGGCACGTAAAGCTTTCGCAACTAAATTCTGCCGTTGCCTGGAACTGCGCGATCGGATGGTGGGGGTCAGGGCTCACACAAGCACTGCTTAGCGTGAGCGCTGATCCCAGAAATCCATCCATTCAAAGGATTCGGACCAAATTTATAAAAAAGAAAAAAAAGTAATCTAAACACAACCTTAACCTGAAAACTGGGGGGCGGGCAATTAACACTGCTGCCCCCTCCCCCCCCCCCTCCACACACACCTTGAAGAGTGGGGACTGGGAATGGCCCACTGCCCCCCTCCCTGTTTCTACACCCATGGTGATGCTTATACCGAGCTCCCCCTCACTTCATAAAGTCGTGGGTGCGCATCTCAGCGTAGTCATAATTATAGTCATGTCATGTATTTCGCAATTCCGTTCCCAGATATGCCTACGTAAGGTGTGCAAATCACTATATTCTTTACTCCTCATTGCACCAGAATCTCACGCAATATCCCAATTGTTCACATATCGCTAGATTCGCCTCGTTTTCCGTTAGATCCTGCTTTTTCGCGTCTACCAGCAAAATTGTGCGGTACTTGCAATTACTGGCGGTTCGCACCTTCGGGCCGTGGGCGGGGGAGACTCTGCGGCTGCCCGTGAATATTTCTGCAAGCAGTGCATAGTTTACACCCAAATTTTCCACGATAATGTGTTTGGAGATTTCCCATCGAATGGTGTCTAATTCATGTCAATCAGACGGCATGTTTAGGAGTTGACTTTGGCCACAGGTGCCTAAACTTAAAGTAGCTATAAATAACACGTCTTGCTTTATTGACCCGAAAATATCCTCGATTGATACTAGTGTGCAGACAACTCCACTGGTGTCACTTTCGTTCAATTCTATGGAGTTGTTTGAAAGTTAGAGTTTGGCCACAAGTATGGTCACGACTGTGCCCTCGGCTCCTCGGTTTTTTTTAAAGGTTATCCATGAATATCTTGGCAATGTATGCATTCTTTGCACTCATAATCACAGCAATTAGCAAACTTGCTATTTTATATCAGATGATGTCCATTTTGTTGGCATCAGACATTGAACATACAAGTTAGACTTTGGCCACAAATTGGCTGCTACCATGGTCACATTTTAGGGAGACCATGGTTCTCAGTGTTTCCCAAAACTGGGACATAACTGAGGTTCTTAGCACAAAGACTTGCTGGATACAGAGATTTGCTTTCACCCCAGAGGAGCTGCAGTGTCTTTTCACATGTTTTGTCCTTTCCATTGCAGGTGGCTGCCAACACTGGTTAAACAAACATGTGAGTGTGAAAGGTTACAGTGTGTATTTACCAAGAGATAATTTGGGTTTTGAATACACCACCTATTTTTGTGTTCTGCCACCCAGCATCATTGGTTTAATTTTTCAGGATACGATTTCTATGCTGCAAAATATATCCAGTTGTCATGCACAAGCTCATTCCAGGGAAAAGTTGGCTCAATAACTAAGGTACACCCTCATGCTTCCAGACAGTTTGAACCAATTTCATTTTTGGAGAAATCGGCCACCCATACCATGATCTAAAAACCTTTGCACTAAACATGTTGTGGTGGCAGCAGTATTACAGCAAAAAGGTTAAAGTAGGTACACCTTAAATCTGAGTGTGCAGAGTTTGGTGTATGAGTACCACCACTTTCAGCTGATAGAGTCAATGTCTCAAGAAAAATGACTGGTGAAGGTAATTTGTCATGGTCAACAGTTTGCACACCAGTGTGCCAAGTGTAAAATTGCTGATAAGATCTTTATGGGTAAGAGTTTGGTCAAACAATGAAATTCTTTACTTGTTTTTTTTTTTACTTTAAAGGTAGATGTTCTTGAAAAGGGCACTTAATGACCTTGGGGCTTTAATGTGTAAAGGTGGCAAATTTTCTATTGGAATAGGCTAAGCTGTTTGAAGCTTTCCAAATGCCATAGGATTCAGGCTGTCCTAAACATTATTAACATTTGTGTGATGACAGGCAAACAGACCCTACAAGAGGTGGGTATCATGTGAGCACATTTCCTGAAATAGAACATGAATTTTAATCAGTCTGGTCGGTCTAGTCTTCTTCCTGAGCATTGCAAAGTGACTCCCATTGTTACTGGCACACTCAGCATGCCAATTTTGAAAATGGTGCTGGTGTGATACACCAATATATGACCCACAACCTTTACTTAGATCATTTGTTCACCTTTTGCAGCTGGCTGCCATGTTGGAGCAAAGGAATTCCAACTATAGTTGCTCTGTGTAACCAGTTTCTCCCTAACTCTGTCATTGTCGAGACAGTGGGACTCATGATGTATGTTAATCCATGAGATGGTGTTCTTTCAAGTACTCATGATATCATGTTTAACCCTCACCCTGATTCAACATTTTCATAACACAAACCATTTGGGATCTATTTGATCTCCATGCTGAAAATGGGCTGGTGCCTCCTGCCATTTTCAACCTTAAAAAGGGTCTCAAATAAAAAATGGCATTGCATTGGTCCTTGCAATGAGGAATGAGATGTTACTGGGCCAGGTATTGACCCCAGTGGGTCAAGTTAAACATTAATTGCCCCAAAATGGGAATATTTCAGCTTTATGTGCAACATTTTCCAAAACCATCTCATGAATAAACTTAAAATTCACAGGTTTATTCTTCATTTAATTTGGAATACATCATCACACAGTTGTGTGTGTTTTTATAGTGTAGGGCCCTGTTGATATAACAGTATCACCCACGCCACACACAGTCGGCAGATTTGTCTACCACCACCCATGCCAGCCATGAATTGCTGTGCAGTGTTCCTGAAACAGTGGTATTCAGAAACCAGAATTTTTTTAGACATGTTTTCTATTGCCGAACAAGCACAATCAGTGCCCCAGAGACTAAAAGAAAGCTAGCACATATACTACAAAGTTATGCTGTCATGATTTCAAAGCATTTGTATGCAATTTGTTTAGTTGTTGATTGTTTAGTCATGTTCTCACCCATTGCAACATCATTCCCCTCCCCCCAATGGTCAATTACCATGGGCAACCATGCCATAAGTTCCCATACCTCCTCCACCCTTTGATCTTTTGTGAAAAGTCTCACCCCTGCTGTTGCTGCACTAAAATACCCCCTTAGATGCTCACCAGGCCTATTATGACCTGTTAGATACACAATTTCGTTGTTTTTTCGAACGACTGCGATGTTGCTGAGGGTCGGCTTTGTTGTGCCAGGGGCACCAGGCAGCCAGCTAATGGGAAACAGTTCTTGCGAGGACGGCGCGAGACGGCCTTCGATCAAGGCGCATGTCCGTAAACAAGGCCCAGTGCTCCGTTGACGCGGCGTTCGGTGCCGACAGCATTGGGGATGGCGCGCCGGTCACGGCCGCAGCCCTCCACGTGGGAGGAGGCGCGCGGCGAGTTCTACCAGGAGCACTTCCCGTCGTCGCAGGCGGGCCTGGAGGCGGACGACTCGCTGTCGGGCGGCGCCTCGTCCTCCCAGGCCCAGCTGCTGCACATCCTGCCCAGCCGCCAGCTGCTGCACACAGTCGACGGTGAGCTGGCGCCGCTCACGCCGTGCCATAATCGGCACAACTGGCGCCGCTCACGCCGTGCCACAATCGGCACAGCTGTCGCCGCTCACGCCGTGCCACAATCGGCACAACTGGCGCCGCTCACGCCGCATGCCAACTGGACATGCGACAAGGCACGAGGGCTGTTGTTGAAATTACGAAGAATGCGTCTTCGAGGGAGGCTTACACCCATGCCACGATTCATGTGTCACAGTTACGAGGAATACTCCGTGAATGCGAACACTGATATGTTCCCACCAACCTTCTGCTTTTTTTTACCTGGCTTGTTCATTTGGTCATCTTTTGTGAATATGTTTACCTGTCTGTACCTCATGGTTTCCATGTTGCAATGTGTCGTGTGGCTTCGGTTTATGCGCAGTTGATTTTTCCTTTTTGTCTTTCCCGTACTCATGTGCCTAGTATTTCTTAACTTTATTCTAGTTGGTTCTTTAAATTTCCTGTTGTGATAGAGCTCTGTTTTTCGACGACCGCGATTCGGCTGAGCCGGGATCAAGTTACTCCTGTAAACTCATCCGTGGGGTGGGTTTAGACGGCCCGCCGGCCCACCGACGCCCGCCAGAGCTAACGCTGCCCGCCCCGGCCATGCTCGCTGGCCGGCCGGTACCTCTGCAGGACCCGGCACAGTTCCGTCCGCCTGTTTGTCCTGTAATTTCTTTGACGCGACTATGAAATGCGGGCCGCAGCACCCAGCTCGAACGCCGGCATGGGGCCCTGATTTGGCCGGTTGTTTTGGCGCAGGGTTACCCCGGGATATCACCTGTGAAGAAGGCCCTGCGACTTCTATCTGATTCCGGGTGGGGACGGTAATGCTCGTTCGATGATATCTTATCGCGAGTTCTTGTTGGTGGGAGTCACAGATGATTACGTTGAGTGATAATCGACAGTCATCTGATGGCGGGGGAAATACGCTCCGGCCAGATTAGCCCCGACAGCGGTGAAGTGACGGCGGTGGAACCGCCACCCAGCTGACTGGTGTGTGCCCCGGCTGACGGGTGTGTGTCCCGGCTGACCGGTGTGTGCCCCGGCTGACCTGTGTGTTCCCCGGCTGACGGGTGTGTGCCCCGGCTGACGGGTGTGTGCCCCAGCTGACGGGTGTGTGCCCCGGCTGACGGGTGTGTGCCCCGGCTGACCAGTGTGTTCCCCAGCTGACGGGTGTGTGCCCCGGCTGACGGGTGTGTGCCCCAGCTGACGGGTGTGTTCCCCGGCTGACGGGTGTGTGCCCCAGCTGACGGGTGTGTGCCCCGGCTGACGGGTGTGTGCCCCGGCTGACGGGTGTGTGCCCCGGCTGACCGGTGTGTTCCCCGGCTGACGGGTGTGTGCCCCAGCTGACGGGTGTGTGCCCCGGCTGACGGGTGTGTGCCCCGGCTGACGGGTGTGTGCCCCGGCTGTCGGGTGTGTGCCCCGGCTGACCAGTGTGTTCCCCAGCTGACGGGTGTGTGCCCCGGCTGACGGGTGTGTGCCCCCAGCTGACGGGTGTGTTCCCCGGCTGACCGGTGTGTGCCCCAGCTGACGGGTGTGTGCCCCGGCTGACGGGTGTGTGCCCCGGCTGACGGGTGTGTGCCCCGGCTGACGGGTGTGTGCCCCGGCTGACCAGTGTGTGCCCCGGCTGACGGGTTTGTGCCCCGGCTGACAGGTGTCACCATGAGTCGCGGCCAGATGACCCGCACTCTCGGCAAGCGACGCTCAACGCTGACCCTGCGGCCCAGCCAGGTGCAGGCTGACGCCGACGATGAGATGCTTGCCCGACCAAGGTATGCGCGTGCCGACGCCGCGGCCGCGGCGGGTCAGTGCACACCTGAGCGGGCCTCAAGATCTGTGCGGCGGGGTTTTATGGCGCGTCATAAAAACACGCTGCTTCACGGCAGAATGCTTGGTTGATAAGACGGTAGGTTATGACAGGAGCTCTCTGCAGCTGTGTACCCCTCGCTCTTATCACATATTGCTGTACGGTGCATTTAACCTGTGCCACACAGTTTGATATCGTACATGCATCATATATTGCATATGCTGCATGTAGTTATCGTACGTATGATATCGAACACAGCCTGAAGATATCGTTGACTACGAGAAGTGCTTCGTGGTCGCCCGTAATTGCTGGACCATGCCACCGCTGGCTGAGATCGGTCCCGACTGGTGCAGCGTCTGCCTGTGACGTCAGACGGCGTCCGGTGTGTTGTTTGGGCCCACCGGGGCTGTGTGCTGGGCGCGGCGTCGGCTACGCGGGCGGTCGCCGGCGGGTGGCGGCTGGTCTGGCCGAGCGTGGCCACGCGGCATGCTGGCCGCTGACGGCCGGCCGTGTGGTCTGCCGCAGACATTCCTGACGAACAGCAGGTCTGGGACCAGATTCAGGCCATCAAGGCTATGCCGATTCCGATGGAGAAGAAGAGGGAACGCAAGAACAAGCTCCTTGTACGTACAATCGGAACACAGCATTTGTAAATTTGTTCATGGAACTGCCAGTAACAAAATACACGTGCGGCTGGAAAAACATCGAGTGATGTGCTGAAGTCGTCACGTCACGTATCTGAGCGTACGGCCGCCAGCGGCAGTGATCAAACCGCCGCACTGGTGCGGACGTGTGTAAACAGGTACCAATCGAGTATCCGACTACTATTTTATGTTTCACAGTGGGTATCGCCGTGCTATTCGTCTTTGTTCCAGACCTCTTCGGCCTTCCGAGTACAGGGCATGCAGCGGTTTCATTTGCATCGGCAGAAGTTCTGGTCACACTTTAAGGACGCTATGGTGGACATCTTCGCGTTCGAGCTGTGGCACGACTCTCTCCGCCTCATCGAGGGCAACTTCGGCACGGGCGTGCTGTCCTATTTCCGCTACATCAAGAAGGTGATGTACATGAACATTGCGGTTGTTCGCGGCCATGCTGTCGTTCGTGGTGCTGCCAAACCTGCTGCTGAAGCGGACGGAGCCCCTGCACTGCGACCTCACCGACAACAGTACGGTCACTGCCTGCTGCAACCAGAACTACACCGAGTACGTGCACAACAACAGCTGGGGCGGCGTCACCAAGGGCTTCATGGACTTCCTGCAGGGCACCGGCTACATGGAGCTAACGCCGCTCTTCTACGGCTACTACGAGAACGTGGTGCTGATTGGCGCCACGTCAGGGCTGTACTACAACCTACCGCTGGCGTACGTGCTCGTGTCCATCAGCTGTCTGCTGCTCTGTCTGGCGTTCGTGGTCATCCACACGGCGCACGGCTTCCAGGACGCCATCCTGTCGCGGGGCAAGTTCTATCAGTACTGTAACGTGATCTTCAGCGCCTGGGACTTCTGCATCGACAACGTGAGCGCCCGCGAGTACAAGCAGATGGCGGTGTACAACGAGCTGAAGGGCTACCTGGAGACGGACCAGTACGAGGCGGAGCGGCGCAACCGTAGCCAGATGGACGTCATTCAGCTGTACGTGGTCCGCACCGTCACCAACATCATCGTCACCGTCATCCTCATCATCTGCGGCGTCATCATCTTCTACGTGGTGCAGTACTCGCTGTTGCACGTCGAGATGGAGGCCAGCGGCGAGAACCGGTCGACGCTGCTGACCATTTACCAGTACTTACCAGCCATGACCGTGTCCGTGATGAACATTGTGGTCACGCTCTTCATGTACCACATCGTGACGCTGGAGCGCTACACGGCGCAGGTGAACGTCATCCTGACGCTGGTGCGCACCGTGTTCTTGCGCGTCGCCTCCATCGCCGTGCTCATGTACTCGTTTTTCGTTAAGTACAAGGCCCAGTGCGAAGGCCAACTGACAGGCTTCGAGTGTTTCCTGCCGGGCTGCCGCGCCAACGCCTGCTGGGAGACCATCATCGGCCAGACCTGCTACAAGCTGATGCTGACCGACTTCGCCTGCATCGCCGGCTTAAACCTGTTCGTCTACTTCCCGCTGAAGGTGGTGATCGACCACTTCCAGGTGCCGTGGATGCGCAAAATCTTCCTGCAGGAGTTCGAGATTCCGCGCCACGTGCTGGACGTCGTCTACAACCAGGCGCTGTGCTGGCTGGGTGTCTTCTACTCGCCGCTGCTTCCCGGCATCGCCGCGCTCATCTGTTTCCTCTACTTCTACCTCAAGCGTTTCACCTGTACACGCATCTGCGAGCCACCGAAGCTGTCGCTGCACACCATCCGCTCGTCGGCCTTCTACATGCTTGTGTCGCTGTTCTCCTTCTTCGCGGCGCTGACCATCATCATCTTCTCGATGGCCGAGGTCCAGCCGTCGCGCTCATGCGGCCCATTCCGAGGCCTCCATACGATGTGGATGGAGATCCAGGACACAGTGAACGCGCTGCCCGGCTGGTTGCGCACCTTCATTCACTTCTTCGGCTCGGCTGGGTTCGCCGTGCCGCTGGTGGTGGCTCTGCTGCTGGCCATGTACTACTACTCGGCCATCGCCGCGGCCAACAAGCACATGATCGAGGTGCTAAAGGAGCAGCTGGTGTTGGAGGGCCATGACAAGCAGTTCCTGCTGAGCAAGCTGAACGAGCTGACGTCGCTGACTCGGCACCGGCTTACCGAGAGGCGGCGCAACGTCATTGGCGAGCGTCTGATGGAGGGTGTCCATTTCGCCGAGATGGGTGCCCGGTCATCTGGCGCCGGCAGCGAGACGGTGGTGACACACCAGGAGTTGTAGCTCTTGACTCCGCTCTCCGACAGTGAGACGGTGGCGGCACACCAGGAGTTGTGGCTCTCGACTCCGCCCTCCGACAGTGAGACGGTGGCGACACACCAGGAGTTGTGGCTCTCGACTCCACCCTCCGACAATGGGACGGTGGTGACACACCAGGAGTTGTAGCTCCCGGCTCCACCCTCCGACAGTGAGACGGTGGTGACACCAGGAGTTGTAGCTCCCGGCTCCACCCTCCGACAGTGAGACGGTGGTGACACCAGGAGTTGTAGCTCCCGGCTCCACCCTCCGACAGTGAGACGGTGGTGACACGCCAGGAGTTGTGGCTCCCGGCTCCACCCTTCGGCGGTGAGACGGTGGCGACGCACCAGCCGCTCGCTGCAGCCTCGCTCGCCGACGGTGGGGCGAGTGTATAGCGCGGGGCTCAGGACGCGGGCGCGACACGGAGCACGCCGCCACGCGGCCCGAGCAGCGGAGGTGTGACACGCCCAGCGGCAGCGTAAATCGCAGGTTTGCGTCTCCTCCCGAGCGCAGCCGCGTGTCTAGTCTTCGATGTGATGATTTGTTGAATTTTACGTATTGCGTTGTCACGTGAGTGCCCTGCGTAGGACGGGGCGGCTGATTTGCTTACGTGTACTGTTAAGCATCAAGTATTTATATCGGTGTGGCTCGATTCCGTACCTACGTGGTCTCAGACGTATTGTTACGCGAGCGCTGTGACGCAATGCCCAAGCCACGCCGTCTATTTGTGTTATGGTATGAGTTAAACTTGAGTCACTATTTATGGTTCAACTGCACCTAGTCTAAGTTTGCGTATGCAAGACCACCCAAGTATGATAGCTATTTCCACATCCGTGAATTCCATTAAGGTGTACATTTGCTGAGTGAACACGGGCGTGTTAGGCCAGCGCAAGGTTTTCAAAGGCGTCAGTGTTGACGTTTCTACCATATTTTTACGTACCTACGTATTGTGCCAAGCTTCCACTCATCGTGTGTCACCATATTTACTCAGTTGAAAGGCGCCTGACCTTGACGCATTCGATTCGCCTGCCGCTCATGTCTTTCAAAGGCGCGAGGTGGAGTTGCGTTGGCACTGGTGAGAGGTGCTGCAACCTGGTGGTGATGTGCAGGACCGAAGCTTTCGAGTCACCGCGCTAGTTTTCGATCCCGGAAAGCGTGCCATTGTACTGCTGCAAATGCATTCCTTGGTGGCATTTACTGTAGTAAAAAGTGGAGACATGAACAGCTGTGTGTGAACGGTGGGCGTCGAATATACGCTGCGCGTATGACCAACGCCCGGATGTATCAGAGCACCGGAGCGCTGAAAAGCATTCTGCGATGGGAACGGCTGTGAAAATCGGTAAAGTTTTACACTGAAGGTTGAAAATGTCATGATCAGATGCGTAGTCGGCCACTCCTTGATCTCGTTTCGGTCGTACTGACACTCAGGTAATGGCAACCGAGTGATTGCACGTACTCGATCTTAGGCCCCATTGCATAGGGAGACCAACTGCTGTTCATTTGTATTTGTCAGATATTAGCTGAATTAATGCAACCGGCTGGTCACGACGCCGATGACAGTTGTGAGACGCTCGGTAACAGTTCGGTAACATCTCGCAGCTGTGTCACGCTCGGTAACATCTCGGTAACATCTCACAACTGTGAGACGCTCGGTAACGGTTCGGTGACATCTCACAGCTGTGTCACGCTCGGTAACAGCTCGGTAACATCTCACAACTGTGAGAAGCTCGGTAACGGTTCGGTGACATCACAGCTGTGTCACGCTCGGTAGCATCTCGGTAACATCTCACAACTGTGAGACGCTCGGTAACAGTTCGGTAACATCTCGCAGCTGTGTCACGCTCGGTAACATCTCGGTAACATCTCACAACTGTGAGACGCTCGGTAACGGTTCGGTGACATCACAGCTGTGTCACGCTCGGTAACAGCTCGGTAACATCTCGCAGCTGTGAGACGCTCGGCAACAGCTCGGTAACATCTCACAGCTGTGTCACGCTCGGTAACATCTCGGTAACATCTCACAACTGTGAGACGCTCGGTAACGGTTCGGTGACATCTCACAGCTGTGTCACGCTCGGTAACAGTTCGGTAACATCTCGCAGCTGTGTCACGCTCGGTAACATCTCGGTAACATCTCACAACTGTGAGACGCTCGGTAACGGTTCGGTAACATCTCGCAGCTGTGTCACGCTCGGTAACATCTCGGTAACATCTCACAGCTGTGATACGCTCAGTAACATCTCGGCAACATCTCACAGCTGTGTCACGCTCGGTAACATCTCGGTAACATCTCACAACTGTGAGACGCTCGGTAACGGTTCGGTGACATCTCACAGCTGTGTCACGCTCGGTAACAGTTCGGTAGCATCTCGCAGCTGTGTCACGCTCGGTAACATCTCGGTAACATCTCACAACTGTGAGACGCTCGGCAACAGCTCGGTAACATGTCACAGCTGTGTCACGCTCGGTAGCATCTCGGTAACATCTCACAGCTGTGATACGCTCAGTAACATCTCGGCAACATCTCACAGCTGTGTCACGCTCGGTAGCATCTCGTTTACATCACAGCTGTGATATGCTATGTAACATCTCGGTAACATCTCACAGCTCCGATCGCTCAGCAACATCTCGGTAACATCTTACAGCTGTGAGACGCTCAGTAACATCTCGGTAACATTTCACAACTGTGAGACACTCAGTAACATCTCGGTAACACCTTATAGCTGTGGACGCTCAATAACATTTCGGTAACATCTGACAGCTGCAATACGCTCAGTAACATCTCGGTAACACCTTATAGCTGTGAGACGCTCAGTAACATCTCGGTAACATCTCACAGCTGTGATACGCTCAAAAGCAGTAGCAGTAGCAGCAGCATACTGCTTAATCCTTAGAGCTATGAGTATTTCATATTAATCATACGTGTCTGGTTCTGGGCTCCCTTCCTCCTATGCTTGTCGCGAACGTAATCGAAACTTCCGTCGCGCGATGACACTTCGTACCGCCAACGAGCATTTTGTGCGTCCTTGAAATGGGATATGAAAAGCAGCGGCCGACCCAGGCGCAACATCAAACCAACCCAACTAGGCCCAACGGGAAACATTGTGACGGAACTTGGTGGCGAAGAAATACAAGATGCTCGTAAATAAATAAGACAACGCTTTGTGGGTCACATGCTGAGGAGTCAGCTGGGCATAATCGGTTGACCAGCTGGAGCGAGGAAGACGCTTTCCTGTGACGTTCGCCACCCGCCGCTGGCGAAACTGAACCGACCGCACTGGTAAGCATACTGTAGCGTTTTCACTGATAATGATAATTCGAGGTTGATTTCAGCGTAGTACCTTGGTGGCGGCAGATCAGTTCCCCCCACGGCCGTTTGAACCTGTCATAACGCCATGTCTGCCGTTGACTGCCGCCTGGACACAACATGACGTCATCTCAATTACAGTGATGGCTTGACGTGCAAATTGAAATGTATATCCTAAAAAGAAAGTTCAGGCGACGGCGAGCCAGGTATGAATGACGTAGATCTGTCCGCAGGGCGAAGGGTCACCTGGACACGCTGGTGGCAGCAGGTTAAGGTCAGATAGCGACAGATAGGATCGAAATTGGTGGGATACTGCCTGTTTTGCAAAGATTGGTCACCCCATTCGCCACTGGCTGGAATTTAACAAACCCTGGAGTAACCATTGGGGACACAAATGTGTCTCAAGCAGGCCCTCGTAGGTACGCAGGATCGTGCAAAGGTGGCGAGATGCCATCCGCACTCGGCTTGATACTGTTCCAGCGGAGCCGAATCTGACTCCGGCTCAGCGCATGGGCCCATAACACAACGTCGATGCGACTCTGTATCAAACACGGCACTTATTGCTGAGGTGGTCGATTCCGATCACCAACGGTTAATGACATAGATCGCTCCACACAGGCTTAACAGGGAGAATTCGTTTTGGCAATAATACCGTTATTCATGCTTAGTACTTTGTATCATTCCATTTGATCCGCATATAAGTTTATGCATTGTAAACATATTTTGTCACTGACGTTTGGTGACTTGTGACACACAGGGGCGGTTCCAGAGGGGGGGGGGGGCACGGGACCATGCCCCCCCCCTTGGTCCCGAATGGGCCCATTGTCTCCCAAGGGGCCCATGCAGTTTTTTAATACAAAACGCAAAAAACTAGATATCTCTGAACTTCCAGACGACCGAGAACAATTGTAAGCGAAAGTGAAGGGCCTATGATAAGTCAAAAAAGAATTCATTGATTGGAAAAATTGGGAACTGGAAACTTCAAGCCTCATTTCACTGTCTTCGGGCCGATGCTGTCACTGGGAGACCCATATGCCCACTTGCGTGGTCATTTCAATAGTCAAGGGGCATTCCACGTGGCCCTTCATTTCTCTGCATTTGCTCGAGGGACTCTGCGCTGTTGTTGAGGCCCTTCCTGCCAGCGTGCCGGGACACTCGTCAACCACGGGCCCTTCCGTGTGTTCTTTCCATTCGCCAGAAAGGCTGTGTGAGCTATAGCTGGGGTCCCATATCTTAACCTGCCGGGGTATTCTCTGTTGCCCAGGGGCCATTTACGTGGGTCTCAGTTAACCTACCGACACACTTGCGATATGCTCACGGGCCCTCTTCATTGGTCTAGGGCAGTTCCAATTTATGGCTCTGCACTCTTGTCGGAGGCCCATCTGATAGCCTGCTTGGGCACAACAGTCGTTCGGGAACCCTTCACACTGGGTCTTTTCTTAATGGGGATTCTACGCTTTTTAGGGGGGGAGGGGCTATCTGATAGCGTTCGGGGGTCCTCTACATTGGGCCTAGGGCACGTGCTATTTGAATGGGTCCCACGCACTTGTCAGGGCCTCTCTGTTCGCTCCTCGGCCACACTGGATTGCTCGGGGCCCTGCACATTGGTTCTCAGTGTTTGAAATAAGGGCCCTCTGCTTCTATCGGGGCCATCCGATAACCTGTTCGGGTACACTCCATCTTTCGGCGGCCCTCGGCATCGGGCTTTGGATAATTCTTATTTGAATGGAGGACCTTACGCCCCTGTCGGGGCCTCTTCTGATAAGATGCTCGGGCCGATTCAATCGTGGGGACCTCTACATGTGGTTTTTGGGTACATACTTTTTGAATGGAGGGCCCTCCGCGCTTTTCGGGGACCCTATCTGGTAACCTGCTCTGGCGCATTCGATTATTTGGGCCCTCTACATCGTGTTATGGATATTTCATATTTGAACAGAAGGCCGTACGCCGGGACCCCGTCTGTTAACCTGCTCGGACACACTCGAATATCCGGGGGCTTTCCACATAGTGTCTTG